ATGAACTGAGGTGGGAAAACCCACCCTAAATGTGGGCAGTACCATTCCATAAGGTGGGGCCTGGGATGGTTCGTCTACTTTGTGGGAGTCTGCCAGAGTCCAGCTCTGACCTGTTGAAGGGCTCTTGGGAGGAGGAGAGAGGAATGAAGAATATTAGGGAGAAAGATAGAAAGATAGAAAGAGACAATAAGAAAGACAGGGACACAGGATATCTTCGGGAGGGCCCTGAGTCAATACCCACTCACCCAGTTATTTATTCAAAAGGACTTTTTATAATATGCCAAGGGGAGAGGCAAAAAACCTCCCCCTTGCAAGATCAAAGCACACTGTACAGCCAAGTGTAGACCCTTCCAAACAACTGGTAAACACGTCCCCAGCCAAACCATCCCATTATGCAGCCCTGCTGGGTAAAGCAAACTCAGAGTGTCTGACCCTGAGTAAGGTCTCACTAGAAAGGCTCTGTGGGTCACCATACAACCTCTTCTTTCTCTCTCTTTCTTTCTCTTTCTTCTTTCTTTCTTTCTTTCTTTCTTTCTTTCTTTCTTTCTTTCTTTCTTTCTTTCCTCCTCCTCCTCCTCTTCCTTCTCCTCTTCTTCCTCCTCCTCCTCCTCCTCCTCTTCCTTCTTCTTCTTTTTTTTTTTTTTGACAAGGTCTAGTTATATAGGCCTGCCTAGCCTGGAACTCACAGAGACTCTCCTGCCTCTGCCTTGGGAGAGCTGGGATTAAAGGTGTGCACCACCACACAGAAACACTATGTGTTCCCTTTTTCTGACAGCAGATGCAGTGTGATCAGCTGTCTCAAACTTCTGCCACCACAATCTTCCCATCATGCTGAACTGTACCAAGGAATTGTGAATCAAAATCAAACTGTCAGGATAATTATTACACAACAAGCCAAGTACCTAACACAGACTGGTACCTAGAGTGGAGGAGGTGAGATTATAAACCTGACCATGCAGTTCTTAGATCTTTACAGCTGGTTTGCAGGAGGAATGTGGAAGAGTTTGGGAGTTTGGGCTAGAAAAGACCTTGAATATGGTAATTAGAGTTAAATGGGCCATTCTGGTGGAAATCTGGAAAACAGAAATGATGAGACCTGGCTTGTGAAGCTTCAGAGGGGAACAGGGAGTATGAGGAATTAGGAGAGGCTCATCTGCCTGACATTCCAGCTAAGGACTGGGCTGTATTCTGTATTCTGACTCCAGCAGGCACTAGGCACACACATGGTACACACACATACATGCAGGCAAACACTCATGCACACACAAAAAAACAAATAAAAAATTATTTTAAAAATACCTGTTTTATATATAATGTGGAATTTCTCTTCTAATTTTGTTGATTTGTTTTTTTGGCCTTTTGAGACAAGCTTTCTCTGTGCAATCTGGCTGTCTTGGAACTTGCTCTGTAGACCACATTGGCCCCAAACTCAGAGATCCGCTTGCCTCTGTCTCCCTCTTTGGGGTATTAAAGACATTCGCCAGAACGTGAAGTTTCTAAGTTTTATCTTTAAATAAACTGTAAAAATCTTTTCTTTCCATATAGAATTTTGTTCTACTTGGAGATTAAGAAAGAAAAATCACGGCTGGGCGGTGGTGGCGCATGCCTTTAATCCCAGCACTCGGGAGGCAGAGCCAGGCGGATCTCTGTGAGTTCGAGGCCAGCCTGGACTACCAAGTGAGTTCCAGGAAAGGCGCAAAGCTACACAGAGAAACCCTTTCTCGAAAAACCAAAAAAAAAAAAAAAAAAAGAAAAAAAAAAAAGAAAGAAAAATCAGGGTCAGAAAAAAAAAAAATGAAAGTAGAGATTTGAAGCCAGGCAAGGTTGAATATACCTTTTATCCCAGCACTCAGGAGGCAGAGGCAGGCAGATCTCTGTGAGTTTGAGGAGGCAAGCTGGTCTACAGAGCGAGTTCTGAGACAGGGCCACCTTGACTCAAAAAACAAAAACAACAACAAAAACAGGAAATAAGAGCCAAGTAGAGTTCAATTTCTCAAAATTTCTTCTAACATAACCTCTAACATTTTCTTACCAATTTCCTATTGATTTTTGTTTGTTTGTTTGTTTGTTCTGGTTTTTGAGACAGGATTTCTCCGTATAACAGTCCTGGCTACCCTGAACTCGATTTGTAGACCACGCTGGCTTAAACTCACAGATATCCACTGCCTCTGCCACCATTTTCTAACTTTCCTATTGATTTTTAATTTAATAGCTCTTTTTAACTTTGGAATAGTTTTTATAACTCATTAACTTTTGTTAACTACCAGTTTCATCGCTTCTTTCCTACAGAAGTTTGTTTGTTTGGTTTTTCGAGACAGGGTTTCTCTGTTGCTTTGGAGCCTGTCCTGGAACTCACTCTGTAGAGTAGGCTGGTCTTGAACTTGCAGAGATCCACATGTCTCTGCCTCCCAAGTGCTGGGATTAAAGGCGAGCGCCACCACCGCCTGGCTGTTTTTTTAAATCAAAGCAGGTTGCCTATTAATGATTTTTTAAATTCTGTTGTCTAGGATTTCTAGGGGTGTGTGTGTGTGTGTGTGTGTGTTTTGTGTGTGTGTGTGTGTGTGTGTGTGTGTGTGTGTGTGTGTGATGGGGGGGACTATTTCTGCTCCCAGAAAGCTGCTTTCTAGAGGGTTTTTTTTTTTTTTTTTTGGTTTTTCGAGACAGGGTTTCTCTGTGTAGCTTTGCGCCTCTCCTGGAACTCACTTGGTAGCCCAGGCTGGCCTCGAACTCACAGAGATCCGCCTGGCTCTGCCTCCCGAGTGCTGGGATTAAAGGCGTGCGCCACCACCGCCCAGCTTGCTTTCTAGAGGAAAACAGACCCCCACCGACTGGTCTGCTTTCTACACTCATGCTCACACATGTCCCTCTGCTGTCCTGAAGGACCAAATGTTTGTTTTCCACAAAGAGAGGCATAAAGCTAAGTTATCTTTAGATCTCCTCATTTTCCAAATACATATAAGTTAAACTAACACAATTATCAAACGTCAAGCCAGCTGGAGAACTCCGGGGCAGCTTTTCCCCAAACATTTCCTCCTTCCTTGAATTAGATGTGGGAGGAGAGGCAGGAGAAGCAAATGAATGAACCAAATGTCCTGAAAGCAAACAAATCAAAAACAAACTCATCAGTCAGAAACCAAACAAAAGGGATGACTTCGAATAAACAAAATGCTCTCTAAACAAAGTAAAACAAAACAAAAAAACCCAAAAAGTATCTAGACAAATAGGATCCTTACAACCAACTCAGAATAAACCAAAGTAAGGCAGGCCCAAGCCCCAGAGAGAATTCACCCGCATTCAGGTGTGGAGTCAATACCAGACTGTCAGCACAAGTGGCCCATCCTGGCACTAGTCCACGGACTCCTGCAACAGAAGTAGATCATCCTTGGGGCTCCATATTCAGCCACCAAAACCTCTTAATGCAAAAACAGCTCTTGCCTCCAAAAGAGTAAGAGATAGTTTGTCCTGGGGCCAAATATGAGTTACCATGGTTTGGAGGGCAGATTTAGATTACTCCAAATACCATGTTCCATGGTAGTAATAGATTCATGATGTTTTTATAGTAACAGAACAACAACAACAACAACAACAACAACAAAAACAAAATCAAGACAATTTAAAAATACCTTGGTGGAAAAGCCAGGTGTGGTGGTGCACATCTTTAATCCCACCACAGGAGGCGGTGGCAGGCAGATCTCTGTGAGTCTACAAAGCCAGTTCTAGCACAGCCAGGACTATTTTTACACAGAGAATCCCTGTCTAGTACAAAAAGAAACTAAGAAAGAAAGGGTGGGGGGTGGGGCCGGAAGGAAGGAATCCGTTGGTAGAAACAGGCAGGTAGATTACAGAAAAGCAGCCAAGTGTCTGCTACAGTCCACAGATACTATCTGCTGACATTATTCATTGAGTTGGTGAAAGCTAGGCAACTTTTTGTACATTCCAAAAGGCCTAATCTACTAGTCACAAGGATGTTAGGTCACATAAAGAAACGGGCAATAAGTGGCTATTGGGGGTGGGGGGGAGAGAGCCCAGGACAGCTTGGCTTCAATCTGTACCACAATTATGCAAGTTTCAATCAGTCAGTCGGCCTTGCAGAATGTTTAACATAGGTGCAGCCAGAATAAGGGAAAAAATAGACTATATCCAAAATTGAGACATACAAGGAAAGCCTTGGAGTTCACGAAGCAAAAGGACACTGGAAAAGGCAAAACCAAAGATGGGCTACATAGATAAGTGAGCCTAACACTGCCCCAGCCATGTAGTTCTCTGATGAGGTTGGGGGAAGGGACTCCAAAGCTGCTTCCAGAAGGTAAGTCACAGGAAAGTCAGTCACTCTGATCCTCAGAACAATAATGTAAAAGGGAAATATAGACATTTTGGGCCAATAGTAAGAGAGGGAAAGGAATCACCAGGCGGGACACCCTAAAACCAAATAATGAAAGAAGGGAAGAAAGATTGACGAGTCACAGCACTATGAGCGGATTAAACTGTGACTAAGTCATTTGGCTGATGGGAGAACCAGGAAAGGGCTCTGCCAGGACCACCAGTAATGGTTAGGTAAGTTTGGTGTCACATAATGGGAAAAGGAAATAGAGGCGAGGAAGAGACGGTAGAGTGTGAGAGGGGTGGGAAGAAAGAGGAGAGGGAGGAGGTGACGGGAAGGATAGCGGGAGAGAGGGAATGAGAATGGTTAATATTGGGAGTTTCAAAGTACTTTCCCAACATAAGCACTTGAGCGTTTAGTTTCTTCGTTCCAGTGAATTAACACAAGGGAAACGCTCAGACTGGGTAGTTAAGTAGTTACACCCAAACAGTACAAAGCGACAGTTTGGCAAAGGACACAGAGGTACGAAACGAGGAGCTGGCATTTCCAAAGCGTGGAAAAGAGGTGCCGTCTTCGGGACTGGGAGCAGCCACCCCGCTGAGAGCCTAGACTGGAGCCAGAGACAGCCGGACCTGCGCACTGCGGAAGCGGAACTCATGCGCCGCAGCTCGGCTTCCGGCGGGCGCCGTTTCCAGACGCACCGGCGAGCTCTGCGCAGGTGGTGGCGCGCCCGCCTGTGTTTGTCTGGGTAGTGAGAGGAGGCCCGACACCTGACGGTCCTCTCTCGTAGCTTTCTCTACGGTGGGTCGACCCCGAACAGCTGTAGAGATTCTGAGCTTCTCGCCTCAGGGGACGATTGGAGGGCGTAGCGGCCTTCAAAGGCTCGGCCGCAGAACCTTCCGCCTCCTCACTGCCTCGGAGAGGACAACTGCGGGTCATCCCGCTGGAGGTGGGGTCGGGGGGAGGGGGCGCTGGGGACAGGGTCATCTTGTGGGTCTCACTACTACTTCCGGGAGACGCCTCGGAAAGCAGGACATGCTAGGGTGGGGGGCCACTTACCTCCTATCCCATTGGTTAACTGCTTGCTGGGTGAGCTTTTCTAGTTGCTGATTGGCCCAAAATGCCAATCTAGGTCGCTGGGGAAGCGTTACTCGAGGCTAGATTGAGGTGAGATTGGTCGGGTTTCCGAGTCCAGTTTGTGTGTTGGAGTGGGGACTTCTACTCCCACCCCGGGGCCTCTATTAACAGGGTAAGAAGAAGAACCAGTAGCGGGATGGTGGGGGCAGGTGACAAGAAAGTGAAGGTTTAGAAGTAAACTAACTTCCTCACCTAAACGTAGCTACACCCAGATGGGAACGTGATAGAAGGCCTTTGAGAAAGGAGGACGCGCAATCCTTGGAGCAGTGACGGTATAGGAGAGGCCTTCTGGGGGGTTTTGTTATCTACTTACATGAGGTTTAAATTTCCTTAGGTGAACGTATAACAGACCTTCCGGAGAATTTAGCTTTGGTTTTGTGAAGGAGTTGGGCGACTACCAGGTGTTCTGGGCTTCAAAGAGTCAGTTACTGAATAATTCAACTTTTCTTTTTATTACTTCAGATGAGCAGCTCTCAAAAAAGGCACAAACAACAGAAGAATGGATACAGTTTCATATGTTAAAAGAATGTTAAAAGGAAAATAAGGTATTCACTTTGGTTACTTATGGTATTATTTATGGTTAGTTATCCAAGAATATTGCCTTGGAGGATAAGGTCTTAGGTTTTGAATAATATCTAAGGAGCTTGATTTTTTTTTTTTTTGGTCAGATTTCTACTTTTTAAATGTCTGTTTTAAAAAATCACAGGGCGATGGTGGCATACACCTTTGATCCCAGCACTCCGGTGTCAGAGGCAGGCGGATCTCTGTGAGTTCAAGGCCAACCAGGGCTGTTACACAGAAAAACCTTATCTCCAAAAATGAAACAAACAAACAAATAAATAAATAAATTTTTAAAAAATCATGTGACTGCTGTGGCCACCAAATATCCTCTTTGCTAATTACCCTGATTACCCTACAAATGGAAAACTTTTAGTTTTTAATGTTATTAATTAGCATCTTGAGTGAATTTTACTTTTTTTTGGGGGGGGGTGGGGAGGATTTGAGGCAGGGTTTTACTCTGTGTAGCCCTGGCTGTCCTAGAACTTACTCTGTAGACCAGGTTGGCCTTGAACCACAGAGATCCCACCTGCCTCTTTCTCCTGAGTGCTGGGAATAGAAGACAGGTGCTACCATACCTACCTAGCTTTGCATTTTAAAATTAGTTTTTTTCTTTTTCTTTGCTTTTTTTTTTGTTTGTTTTTGTCCTTTTTTGTTTTTGTTTTTCGAGACAGGGTTTCTCTGTGTAGCTCTGGCTGTCCTGGAACTTGATCCAAATCTTACACTGAAGAACTCACACATAAACAGCTTTTAGGAGCTGACAGAACTAGGCTTATTACTTAACCTAATGCTCCAAGGTTACCACTGAATCAGACACAGTTCAGCATACATTTCTCATATCGGAGTATCAAATTGACCAGCTTTTTAAAATTTTTCTTTGTCTCTCAAAAATGTTGGGTATAAAAGCCTTCATAGTGTTAAAATTTTAGTCTTGAATTTTGTGTGTTCTTTACTTAATGTACAAAGGGTTGTTGCATGCACCCCAGGACAGTTAGGAATATAGTCCACTATATTTGTAGATGATGTTGTACCGTACTTCTTTCAGAAAAAAATCACGAATGTAGTACAGCCACCACCATCTCATGACACTTTATTGAAATGAAAATAGTTTGCCTACTGTGTCTGCCGAAGAGATTCAGGAGTTGATCTCCCTAAGACTGAAAACCAACAGGCAACATTATGCCATGCATGGCTCTGAGGATTGAGAGAACACACCAGAGCTCTGTCTCTGTATCAGGCACCATCCTTCAGCGGGGAATTTTTGAATGTGGGGGCTACATATAAGTGCTATCCTTGAGAAGCAGAGTCCTTACCTTGATAAGGAGGTTAGGGAATATAATTTAGCTTCATAAATCTTAGAATATAAGTCTCTGAAGGTAGATATGTCACAATTGAAAGGATTCTTAGTGGTCTATGCAGTGAATTCAGGCCAGCCAGGGCTACATAGTAAGAGCTTATCTCAATAAACAAACAACGAACAGCAGAAACAACAAAAAAGTGCACAGCTATGTTAGCTCAAGACTAAGGCATTGAATTTGTGTATATTCTTTGAACAGGAAGCTAGACGTCTCAGCATGAATCCATCCAGACCTAGATCAAGTGGTAGTGGAGAAGAAATCTCATTTCAAGAAAATGAGAGAAGATGGCAGCAAGAGCGTCTCCACAGAGAAGAAGCCTATTACCAGTTTATTAATGAGCTCAGTGATGAAGATTATCGGCTAATGAGAGACCATAACCTTTTAGGCACCCCTGGTAAGAAATGGGCAAAAAAGGAAAACACATTTTTTTTTCTATCATTGAAAGGAGGAGGAATTTCAAAGTAAAGAGAATGCCTTCCTTTAAGCACTATTTTGTGAGTCTAAGAATTATTCAGTATAACAAAAATCACTGCCTTCTATGTTTTATAAATATATGAGAATCCTGGATGTGTGGATTTATAAACAGGCCAAACTTAAAAAGTTAATGTACATACCATTAAGTGTTCACATGTATAATTCTCACCACCTTCTACTGCCAACTCTCCCCATGTGGATGGGATTGGGATTTGAACCTAGGGTTTTGTGTATGCTAGGCAAGTGTGCTACAATTGAACTGTACTGTAGCATGAAACCTAGACAGTCTTATTAATAAAATCAAACCTGGAGCCAGGTATTAGGGTGAATGCTGAATGATCAGAGAAACAGAACAAGCCACAGCTATCTCACCTCGCCAATTCCTCAGCTGATCCTGTTTCCTCAGACTGGAAGCCTCTGTGTCCACATCCAAATGGATCTCAGCTGAACTGCTGCTCAAAAGCATAAAAGCTTAACCAGCCAAATGCTTCTAGTTTCTGGTCCTCACACCTTATATACCTTTCTGCCTTCTGCCACCACTCCCTGGGATTAAAGGCTCACTTTCTGGGATTAAAGGTGTGAGTCACCATGCTTGGCTGTGTCCTTGAACACACAGAGATCCAGGTAGATCTCTGCCTCTGGAATGCTAGGATTAAAGGCGTGTGCTACCACTGCCTATCTTCTATGTTTAATATTGTGACTGTTCTGTCTCTGACTCCAGATAAGTTTATTGGCGTGCACAATATTTTGGGGAACACAATACCACCACATTTCCCCTTTTTTTGTCTAAAATTAAAAAAAGCTTATAACTAATACAAGAAAAACTATATCCAAGAAGTGTATCAATATATGCAGTCAAGAATTACATTAATGATGTCTAGTCCATTAACATTTGACAGGTTCAGATGAAAAACTTCATTATTATATAACAATGTCCAGTCCAGTAACATTTGATAAACTCAGACAAAAATTTTCATTACTTATCCTATTTAAAACAAGTAGTTCCTTTTTAAAAGTAGATTTTATATTTTAATAATTGACCTTTTTATCTTATATCCATTGTACCTAGTTCTTTGTTTCTCTTATATAATATTTGCATAAATAAAATGTTATTTAAAACTTAATTCTTAATTTGAGGTGTAACATTCAGCTATATAATGACCACCCAAAAGTCCAGTGTGGTCTATAAGCTTTTTTCTCAAATTCACTTTACAATAAACTAGCTGAAATTTGTGTGTATGTATGTTTGCATATTTGTATGTTGGTGGCTCATATGATAAAATATTGGGGTAGAATTCAAGCACAGAGACTTGAACATTTCCCTCAAACTACTTCCTTCCTAATTTCTTTTCAACTCTTTTGGTTTTTTGAGACAGGGTTTTTCTGTGTAGCTTTGGGCTTGTCCTGGAACTCACTGTGTAGACCAGGCTGGTCTCGAACTCAGAGTTGTGCCTGGCTTTGCCTCTTGAGTGCTGGGATTAAAGGCATGCACCACCACCCTCCGGCTCTTTTTAACTCTTAAGGGAAAAAAAATGCATATAATTAGAGCTTATCCTTTTTTTGTTGTTTTTAGGGTTCATTTTCTTTTTAATTCTGTATGTGTGGGGTGTGTGTGGACTTATGTGAGTGCGTGAGTGCAAGTGTCTGAGGAGGGTAGACGAAGCCATCAGATCCAAGTCCATCAGATCTCCAGGAGCTGGCATTAAGAGGGAGTTGTGAGTGTTTGGATGCCATTTCTGTCTACAGCCTGAGCTTATAGGTTCTTACTGATTTTTTTTACCAAAATAATACAAATTATATCTCAATTTTAATGAAATATTAATAAATGAGATGTAACCAAGTTAGTGTATATTTTTGTCAGATACTAACTGTCCAGTTTATAGAACATGAAAATAATGATTGTCTTCGGTAGGTTGTTAAGGTTTTTTAATCTTTAAATTACATTTTTTTAAAATCTATTTTGTGTGTGTGTATTTCTGTTTGTAAATGGAAGTGAGTGTGTGTAGGCCAGAGGACAACAAGCAGGAATCTTCTTTCTCCTTCCTCTATGTGGTTCCTTGAATTCAGGTTGTTGGGGTTGGCATTAAGTGCCTTTACCCACTGAGTCATCTCACTGGCCCCTGCTGCTAAAGTTTTGTATTTCACGAGTTCTCATAAAACTGGGTAATTGAAATTTTTTAAATAAGCACTCTTTTCATTGTTTCAGGAGACATAACATCAGAGGAGCTACAGCAGCGCTTAGATAGAGCAAAGGAGCAGCTGGCATCCCAGCCTGGCTCCAGGAGTGGGTCAAGTGACGGAGGTATGCATTACCCTTCCTCCATCCCCAGAGAGAAGCCAGGGCCTTGTGTGTATTTGATAAATAGTCTACTGTTGAGCTATAACCCGTAGCCAAATGAAGCTTTTTTTAATCTTAGCATATACACACTATATTTTTTTATATTGATGTGACTTAAAATTTATATGCAGCATAATACAGAGACTGACAGTTGGGAAACTGGTTTTGTTTTGTTTGCTTGTTATTTTGCCAAGCAAACCCTAAATCCTATATAAAAATTCATGCAATAAGGAAAATACTAATGAAAATCCCTTCAAACTAATGGAGATTGTAGAATTAAAAGCAAGCCCAACTTTGGGGCCCCATGTTCTGCCTCCTCCCAAGATACTCGTCATTCGCGGTCTTGTCGACAGTCAGCTGACTGAGGGTCCAGACACTGGGTAGTTTCCTAGCTTCACGCAGCGGTAGATGCTGAGCCAAGGATGAAGGTTTTTAAGTTCCATGCTTAGAACCGAGTGGTCTTTGACTAAGCCTAAGACCCCTGCATTCGTGAAGTAAAGGCCTGAAGAGGAACAGTGGGAATGTTGGATTATCGCCTCAGTTACAAACGTGTGCTGCCTGTTACTTCAGCTCTTAAGGCAACTTTAGTGGTTCAGATACAGGAAAGTTTTCAAGAATTCAGGTGTATAGGTAACCCACACATAAAAACCTTCATTTTTTTTTTCAAAATCTATTATGTAAGTCTTTAAAATACCTATCACTTATTTCAAAAGATAAATCTGTTTACATAATGCAGTCTTCAGAGCTAATACTTTCTCAAGGAAGAGCTGCCAGTCCAGAAGAAGGCAGGAAAGGACCTTCTCAGGAGCCTCTCTAGAGTCTCCTTTGAAAGCCAAGCCCCAGCTTAGCTGTGCCCCATCTGATACAGCCAGTGCCCATTTTCAAGTCCTCTGATAGGACAGTGAAACTGTTTCAGGCTTGGTCTTTTCATTTACGGCCTTTGAAGTGCTGTTCCTATTTTGTAAACCTTAGTGTTTGTTGTAATTAGCAATAAGGGTAGTGGAATTCAGATTCCCAGTGTAGAAGTAGTGGTTGTGAGCACCAGTAATATACAGGGTATATGATTAACAATTGAGATTACAAGGTAAGGCTAGCAAAAGTGTTGCTGTTTTAGGTTCCTGGCCCATCAGTCAAGTCTGAGGAGGGAGACAACCTTTGACCCTTGCCATTATGTGTCTTTTGGGCAGAGTTAATCCCAGTTACTGTTCTGTGTTCAAATGAAGCAATTTTAGGGAAAAAAAAAATGAGTTGTTGCTTTTTAACCTTCCTCGAATTCGGGCAGTGCTGTTAGTGTAGCACCCTCGGTAGTGGTTAGTGTCCCACTGATCAAACTCAGCCGCTGGGCATTGAGAGTGGCTTGAGGCACTCATCCATTTAACCCAGAGCACAGAGATCGTCTCTCTGTTCCTCTGGCAAGGGAATAAATGGCCTTAGAGTAGAGCCTGAACGTTTTGAGTGCTGTTTGTGCCTTAGTTCTCTCTTTTGCTTGTCTTTCTTGTTTTGGTGTCAGAATAAATAAACCTGGCGACATAAAGAGTTTGCCCCTGGAGTACTTGGAACAGTGTTGGTGTTAGTGCTCCCTTGAAGGGCCGGTGGAATTCTACATCAAGTCCATCTGGTCTGGGGTGGTTGGTTGGTTGGTTGGTTGGTTTTGGTTTAGATTTTTAGTTGAAAGACTTAATTACTACTTCAAGCTCATTGCTAGTTATGTATCATTTCAGATTATTTGTTTCATCCTGGTTTCTTCTTGACCCATTCATCTCTCAGTATTGTGTTTAGTCTCCGTACTTTCTGCATTTTTCTCGCTCTTGATGCCCAGCTTTATTTTGTGGTGATATAGAACATGGGGTGTTATTTCAGTTTTCTTATATTCACTAAGGCTTGCTTTGTGTCCTACTGTGTGCTCTGTTTTGTGAAAAGTACCGTGAGTTACTAAGAGGAATGTGTATTCTTCAAGTTTGGTGGAATGTTCCATTTATGTCTGTTAGGTCCATTTGATTTACGATGTTATTTATCCAGTGCCTCTTTATATTTTGTTTGGATGACCTGCTTGTTGGTGAGCGCATTGTTGAAGCCTCCCACTATTACTGTGTTGGGTTAATCTTGTAGCTTTACGTTTAATAGTGTTTGTTTTATGAAATTGGGCACACCTGTGTTTGGTGTAAGTTTGGTTAAAGAGTGTGATCTGGCCTTCTTTATCTCTTTTGATTAGTTTTAGTTTCAAATCTATTTTGTCAAATGTTAAAATAGCTAGCTACACCTGCTTGTTTCGTAGTTCCATTTGCTTGGGGTACTTTTTCTTATTGTTTTACCTTTTTCTCATGATTAGGCATGTTTCTTTGAGGAAGCAAAAAGATAAATCCTGTTCTCTAATTTAGTCTGACAGTCTTTAATTGGTGAACTGAGACCAGTTCAGCTTTATTATTGAAGGGTGTATATTAATTTTTGTCCTTTTGATGAACATCTTTTCATTTACTTATTTATCTATCTATTTATTCATTCATCTATTGATTCCTTGATTCATTCATTTATTTTCTTTCGGAGCTGAGGACCGAACCCAGGGCCATGAGCTTGCTAGGCAAGTGCTCTACAATTGAGCTAAATCCCCAACCCTCATTCATTCATTCATTCATTTATTGTTGTTTTTGACACAGGGTTCTCTGTGTAGTTTCCGTGCCTGTCCTAGATCTCACTCTGTAGACCAGGTTGGCCTCGAACTCACAGAGATCAGCCTGCCTCTGCCTCTTGAGTGCTGGGATTAAAGGCATGCACTACCTGCTGCCCAGCGAAACATCTTTTGATTAATTATCTTGGTATCATTTATTTATATCCTGTGACCTGTGGAATGTGTTTATCCTTCTCTTCAGTCTGAAGTATTCTTTCAAGTATCCTCTGTAGAGCTGGCTTAGTGGTCACAATTGGTTTGATCTGTTTTTATAATGGAACATTTTTATTTTTCATTTATAGAAGAGTTTTGCTGGGTATAATATTCTGGCATTTATGACCTTTCAGAACTTAGGTAATGTCTTTCCAAGACTTACTGGCTTTAATGGTGTCTATCCAATAACCAGTTGTTCTGTGGTGGCCTGCCTTTCTGTGACTTGGGCCTTCCCCAGTGTTTTCACTAGAACGTGTCGTGTCACGTCTCTGCTGGTCTTTAAGGCCATCTCTCAAGATTGGGAAATTATTTTCTGAGATTTTATTGAAAATGTTTTCAATGCCTTTGACCTGGAATTCTCTTTCTTTCATGCCCATAATTATAAATTTGATTTTTTTTATGGTGTCTGAAGATCCTGCATGTTCTGTTCATGCTTTTTTTCTCTAGCCTGCCTTCAAGTTTTGATGTTACTGTGTCATCTAAATTGATTAATTTTTCATTTTCAGCTTTATTTCAGATTAGATTTTAATATTCTTTCTTTTTCACACTCTGTTTTCATTGTTTCATTTAGCTTTGTGTTTATTCCTACTCTCATCAAGATCAAGTTCATTCAGGTGTTTTTATTTGTCCTCTTTAAATTATTTTAACTCTTTGATAGTAGACTTCTGTGCCTGAAATTTTTACCTTAAGTGGTCCCTCTTGGGACCATTTCATTGATGGGATTGCTAGTATTTTTGGAGCAGACATTGTCTTGGTTTTTTCTATACTTTGTTTTTGCAGTGAACCCTGGGCATCTGGAGTTAGGTTGTTAGATGTCTTTTACTGTGTGCTTTTAGTACCCAAGGCCAGAATTCCAAGTTGGTCTGAGTACCCAGGGTAGTTCTGAGTGAGTGGAGCCTAGGGGAAGAGGCCCCTCACTAATCCATCTGGGCCAGCTTCATGGATGGAGGTGGCTGGTGGGAGTTCTCAAAGCAGGAGAGGGGTGGAGCCAGGTTTTGGGGAGAGGTTACCTTACCCAGTTGGGCTGCAGAGTAGGACAGCTGGCCAAGGGGAGAGACTGGTTTATGGGGCCCACAGGAGTCTGGGCTGGACCTTGTGGAGGGTTGAAGGTTCTTGAATCTAGAAAGTAGACTTTTTCTTTAAACATAATTTTGTGCGTGCGTATCAGAAGACAGTTTGTGTCTGGCAGTTCTTTTACCATGTGGGTCCTGGTGCTTCAACTCATGTCAGTTAGGCTTGACAGCCTGTGCCTTTACCCACTGAACTATATCATAAGTCCAGTATTTTAATTTCTCTAAAGTGCTTTTAATATACTTTTAGAAAGTTTTTTTTCATTCATTGAAGTAATTCAGATGTTTAATTCAGTAGAACTGTCTTTCTTGCAATGTTTCAATAAAGATAAGATCTTATCATTACAGAAATTGACCTTAAGTTGATTTGATTTACTTTTCAGACTCAGAAAACCTTAGAGAACATTCAGATGAGGATTCTCTGCTACGATGGCTGAACACTTTTCGGCGCACTGGAAATGTGACTCGAAGTGGACAGAATGGGAACCAAAGTTGGAGGGCTGTGAGCCGAACAAACCCAAACAGTGGAGAGTTTGGGTTCAGCCTGGAAATCCATATAAATCCTGACAACAGAGGCTCTGGAGCTCATGGAGAGGATTATACAGACATTCCTGTGTCAGGTGTTAGCAGAGATCCTAGGCAGCAAAGATCATCTAGTCCTGTGGCTATGCGAACGAGAAGCCAAACCTCCAGGAGTTCCAGTGGCGGTGACTCCAGGGTCCCAGGGGGTAGGCATGGTGCAAGGGGGCAGGGTTCAGTGCAAGGATTGTTCTCAGCACGGGGAAGGTTAAGAAATGGAATTGGAGGAACACTTGGTGTGCCTAGAGTTAGTGGCCATCGCCCTAATGTCATCAACGCTCACACAAACCAGTCAGATGGTAGTAATCTCAGGCAAAGGGAACGGCAGCGGTTTGGAGCAGCACATATTTGGGAAAACGGGGCTAGAAGTAATGTTACAGTGAGAAACACAAACCAAAGATTAGAGCCAATAAGATTACGTCCTGCTCTCAGTAGTCGAAGCCGATCCCCAATTCAGACACAGAATGGTACTGTATATCCTAATTCCCAAAGGCAGAGTAGACCACTACAACAGACTGGTAGGAACAGATCTGTTAGGCATAGAGGTGTAACTCAAGTCTTTCTGGAACAAGATAGAGCACGCAGAGGTACTGTTTATACGCCGCTGTCCAACTCAAGACTTGTGTCAAGAATAACAGTAGAAGAAGGAGAAACCACCAGGTCCTCAGCTGCCACACAGCGCCATCCAGCAATCACACTAGACTTGCAAGTCAGGAGGATTCGTCCTGGAGAAACTAGAGATAGGGATAGCATTGCAAATAGAACCCGGTCGAGGGCAGGCCTGGCGGAAAGTACAGTTGAAAGCAACAGCGGGGGCTTTCACAGAACCATTTCTCATTTAGAGCGGTCAGGTGTCCGAACCTACGTGAGTACCATAACAGTTCCTCTTCGGAGGATTTCTGAGAATGAAGTAGTTGAGCCATCCTCCATGGCTCTTCGGTCAATTTTAAGGCAGATCATGACTGGGTTTGGAGAGCTGAGTTCTCTAATGGAAGTGGAGCCTGAGTCAGAGAATCAAGGAAACGGTCAGCGTTCACCAGAGCTGTACCTAGAACTGAATAACGTAGATGTGACTAACAACAGCGGTCAACAGGGTGGAGATTCCTCACAAGCCAGGCAGGCCCAAGAAGACAGTGCTGAAATGCTAGATGTAAGTGAGCCCAGCCCGCCACAGGCCCGCAGCGAGGGCAGTAGAAATAGCAGGCGGTTACGGAGGGCAGACAGTGTAGTCGAGACTGGAACATTACCCATTCTGCGCCTTGCTCATTTCTTCTTACTGAATGAAGGCGATGAGGATCCAATTCGTGGTTTAACCAAAGAGCAGATTGACAATCTTTCTACCAGGAGCTATGAACAAAATGGGGTTGAGAGTGAGTTAGGTAAAGTCTGTAGCGTGTGCATCAGTGACTATGTGGCTGGGAACAAGCTCCGGCAGCTGCCGTGTCAACATGAGTTCCACATCCACTGTATTGATCGCTGGTTGTCAGAGAACTGCACCTGCCCTGTCTGCCGGCGGCCTGTTCTAGAGCTGGGGGCCGCAAACAATGGGTGAGAGGCCGGGATCTGGTCAGTGCCGGATGTCCCGGAGCCACATAGTCCAGCGCTTCTTCTTGAGTTACTTGTGATGAGGTGACCAAGATGAAAAACTAGCAGAGTAGAGCTTGCACTATTTTTTGTGTGCTTTTTTTAAAAAAAACTTGTTACAAAGAGGTTGTTTATATAAAATTTAAAATGCAGATGTTAAATTATCCAAAAGTAAAGAATAGTTAATATTGCTAGAACCAAATAACCTTCAAAATGTTTTTATTTTGGTAATTTTGTCATGTTAAGCACTTTTGTATCTGCACAACTCAGTATGTTAGGAATCTTGATTCTTTCTCTGAATACTGCAGTAGGTTTTGCTGGGATTTTCCAGTTTCAGCTCAGTGCTGTATTTGGACACTACTGTCTAAGTCTGTGTAGACTGTTTGGCTGAATGTCTGCTAGATAGACTTCAGTTACTTGAAATAATTTAAGACATAGCACACTGTACGTGTGTATGCAGATATGTAACTATGGTGAACATATCCACGCTAAAAACTACAAGTTTGAGAGTTACTTAAGCTCTGGGGCTTAGACAGCATCTGACACAGTGTTAGCATTGACATGACCATCTCTAAGAGGAAGTGAATTAAGATCCAGGTTAACAGAGATTGTTTACTGAAGCGTGTCTGACAATCTGACTTACTAGAGAGCGAGAGACATATAATAATGAACTTAGTATTTCTTTATTCATAAATGGAATGTGGAAAATTTTAGGACAGATAGTTTAAGTTCATCTTTTTTGTGACTTTTTTTAGAAGTACAAACACTTCTCGGGGTTAGGTAGGGTTTACAGCATGCTTGATTTCTCAAATTTAGTTTTAAAATCTAAAATATTTTAAAATCTATTAAGTAGTGAAATGCATAGAAGAAAAAAATATTAAATTGGATGCCAAAAAGCTCCAAATATAATAAAAGCCTTTAAAAGAACGTAGAGTTTATATAAACACAAAGTATGCATTAAAAGTCTATTTCCACCAGTAAACGTGAAGACTGTGTATGAACTCGTTTCTCTCCGTTGTTCCACTTAATTCCACACTGGGTGGCACGTGCATGACAGATGGGCTGAGTTCACTAGGTGACAGGCAGACCAAGACTCTGTCTCCATGGAGAAGACATTGTTCTTAGAAGGAACAAACCATTTTTACTTTGATGTTTACTTGTGAATATATGACAGCGGTCTCTTTCGTATGTCGGGTACCACTTGGGCAAACCTCAAGAAAATACTTCATGTCAAATCCTGAGAGGTTTAGAAATGCCTCCGTGTTTAGCTTTGCTTTTCACTTAGTGATTATGTTCGATTCCGAACGTTAGTTGTGTGCCCAGAAATGACACAGAGGGGTTCACCAAAGGGAAAGATTTTTTTCAAAGTTAAGACTTTGGGTAAATAACTTCTGCAGGTTTACGGGGCATGAGTCAAAAAAGGTTGATAGGGCCTGGGTTGAAGGCCTGTATGTATCAGACTAAGTAAGAGATTTTCATTTCATTTCGTAGCTATTACATGACAACAATTATCCCTTGACGATTTTAGGGACAAGTGTCAGGATAGTTTTTCATGTTTAAAGAAGTTTGCTCTAGTACCATGTAGGGGTCACAGCAGATTATAGAGACAGGGAAACAAACCATAAAGGAAGTGCTACAATAAAACAGCACCCCTGGGGCTGTGGAGATAGCTCTGTCAGTAAAATGCTTGCCTGGTTGTCTGGAGACCATGACTGAGTTCCGTCCCTAGCAACCTGTAAAAGCTGGGCATAGTGGTGCATGCCTGTACTCCTAGGGTTGGGGGACAGAGACAGAGCCTCAGGGCTCACTGGTCATCCAGTCTGGCCAAACTGATTCAGTGAGAGATCCTGTCTCAAAATTAAGGCAGAAAGCAGTTGAGGAAGACACTGCAGTTGACCTCAGGCCTCCACATAAATGAGAACCAGCACATGAAAACACAAAAACTAGCCAGACAGTGGTAGTGCACACCTTTCAGTCCCAGCACTTGGGAGGCAGAGGCTGGTGGATCTCTGAGTTCAAGGACTGCCTGGTGTTCAGTGCTAGTTCCAGGACAGCCAGGGCTACACAGAGAAACCTTGTCTCAGAAAACATACCATCGTTCTGTCACTTATGCTTATCAGTTAGTGTGAAAAGAGGAACTAGAAAGAAGAAGACATTCAGTTTTTCTCCAGGAAGACATTTGGTGTCTAGTGTGAAAGGTAGAGAGACTCACATATTCTTGGAGAGACTAGAACCAGCCACCCCGAGTGGAGGAAAGTGTGCTGACACAGCACAGATACAGGGATGCCAGTTTAGATAGCTTGCACAAAGTCCCAGAGAGCTCCCACGGACATTCAGTGTGTCCTTTCTAAGGGTAGAGATTAAATCCAGCGTCTGTTTCTTATGTGGAATGTTGGAAGTTTTGCCTCCTCTAACCTGATCAGTTGGGAAAATTATGAGAATAAATTAAAAAAAGGTAGTGGTAAAAAGAAAGAAACCTGATATTTTGCTGGACTTAGTTTCTGTTGTTTTTGAAACAAAGTCTCCCTATGTAACTTAGGCTGACTTTGTCCTCACAATCAGCTTCCCATGCCCCATGACACCCAACTGCACTTAAGTCTTCTGTAAGATGGGATGGCCTTAACAGCACTAGAAGGGGTTTCAAGAAGGCACTTGAAACACAAAGGGGTGGGTACTGTCTGGGAGATTCCCTGGAAGTCAGTGTGGCTGAATGAGGTTGATAAATTGGTACTGCAGTGGAGAACAAAAGTTTTCTGTAATGCTTGCATTCATTTCTCAGTAGACAAAGCTGGCAGAGCCAAAGGCTGTAGAACTGTAATTTCTCTTTAGTAATGATTGTGTCTTTTGTGGGTCTAATACAGGAAGAAGCTAATGGTTGGATGCATTGTTTGAACATGTGATCTGCAGCATGTCTGGAGAGATGGGGCTCTATACTAGACTGCAGCTATCCTCAAGACTTGTATTTTGAGATTTGCAGCTTCCTGGCTGCTCTAACATAGACTTACATCTCTTTTAGTATTTTCTTTGAATTTTTCTAGTATCGAGTATTGTTGTGACTGCTATTTTTGTTATACTCCTGTCAGTATTGTGGTAGTTTGAATGAGCGTGGCCCCCATAGAATTCTTGGTTCCCAGTTGCTGGACTGTTGGGAAGGATGAGGTGTGGTCTTGTTGGAGTAGATGTGGCCTTGGTGTGGAGGTGGTGTGTCACTGGAGGTGGACTTAAGAGGTTTCAAAAGCTCACACCAGGCCATCTCTGTCTCTCTCTGCCTGATGCCTGTGGATCAGGATGTAGCCCTCAGCTTCTTCAGCACCATGTCTGTCTGCATGCTGTCATGCTCCCCATCGAGATGATAATGAACTAAGTCTTTGAAACTTAAGCCCCCAGTTAAATTCTTTTCTTTGAGTTGCCCGGGAGGTGGTGGCTCATACCTTTGATCCCAGCCCTTTGGAGACAGAGGTAGGTGAATCTCTGAGTTAAAGGCCAGCCTGGTCTACAGAGTGAGTTCATGGGCAGTTCTTTATAGAGCCAACTTCCATCCATCCTTCTCAATCATGGATGCTTTCCTTACCTGACTTTGGTTTTCTGCATCTCACCTGTTGACTATGTAAAGTCACCCCTTGTTGGACCCCCACACCCAGGCAGGCAAGACCCTCCCTGTACTACTGGATCTCACTTGAAGTTGCCATAATTTTCTCTTCCAGTATAATATGTAGTCACCTCCATGTGCCCTGTGCAGTGATTTTAGACCAAATGACTCAGGAAGGGAATGGAAGGGTATAAACTAAAGTGGAGGAACCCATGAAGCTTCTGATACTGGATAAGACTGGAACACTTTAGCCTTTGGTGCCCAAGCCATTGACCAGTCAGCCATTTTTATTTTATGTTCACTGTCGTAGGACAGGGAGGAGCTCGTGATGGATTCCAAAGGAAAACATGATCTCTGCCCTTTATAAACACCAGGCAGAAATAAGGTAAACCTAGTGAGAAAAACTTCACCCCATTTAGTTATATTACTAGATATATTTTTTAACTAGTCTTATTTTATGTCCACTGGTGTTTTGCCTGTATGTATGTCTGTGTGAAGGTGTCAGGTCCCCGGGAATGGGAGTTACAGACAGTAGTGAGCTGCCATGTGGGTGCTGGGAATTGAACCTAGGTCCTCTGGAAGAGTAGTCAGTGCTCTTAGTTGCTGAGCCATCTCTCTAGCCCGCCCCCCCCCCCCATTTTAATTAAATTTAAAAAGCTTGAAAGTTAAATAAACTAAATAAGTTTCCAAGCAATGTACCAAACCAAAGTGAACATCACCAAACTCTGAGAAGTCAAATGGAGACCCAAACAGATTCAAACAAGGAATGATTATGATCAGACATGCCGTGTTTCTGTTTTATGGATGCATAGGAAGATATCACATATTTATGGAAAGATGATTTCTATTTGTAATATTATAAACAACATTTGATACAGATTTCTTACCAGAATCACCACAGTACCTCCCATTTCATTAAAAAATGATTGATAAGATTACAGAGAAATGCTCAGTACAATCAGAATGCAGAGAGCAAGCTGGAGCTCAATGGGGATGGCTCCTAGAATCAGAGAAATATCTCAGTTCTATCATTGACTTAATCATTTCCTGTAAATCACACAATACATGATACTCAGCACAGACATTGAGCATGCTCAATGAATTACTGAACACCTACTCATCAAGGGCAATTAAGCTGATTTAATTCAAAGGCAAATTAGATTCTCTGATGTTGGGTGGCACGGCCTCCTTGAAGAACAGCAGAAATCTTGAGGGAAACTCAAGCTCCATTTGTGATTTCACCTTGACACAACTTTCAGGATGATGGGTTTTTCTGGTTGAAAAATTGTTCGCTTGCTTAACTTCAAGGGAATCTGGTAGTTGAAGAAGCGCATTGAGAAGCAATGAATGAGCCAGCAATCACAGCAAAGCAGAACAAAATCCATTCAGGACAGTGGTATTTTATATACACAAAACCCTTTAGCTTCATGTTTTGAATTCTTTTTTTTTTTTAAAGATTTATTTATTCATTTATATATATATATATATATATATATATATACAGTGTTCTGCCTGCAGGACAGTGGTATTTTATATACACAAAACACTTTAGCTTCATGTCTTGAATTTTTTTTTAAAGATTTATTTATTCATTTTATACACACACACACACACACACACACACACACACACACACACACACACACACACACACACACACACACACACACAGTGTTCTGCCTGCATATATGCCTGAAAGCCAGAAGAGGGCACCAGAGCTCATTGTAGATGGTTGTGAGCCATGGTTGTGAGCCACCATGTGGTTGCCGGGAATTGAACTCAGGACCTCTGGAAGAGCAGCCAGTGCTCTTAACCTCTTAAGCCATCTCTCCAGCCCATGTCTTGAATTCTTTATACATACATCTTCATTAGGACTGGGTAGTGAAAACACCCAAGTCTACTGTTCATGCAATAAAGTCATTTTGGAGTAATTATTTCATATGGGACCTGAGGAGGAAGAATATGTTGATGCGCGTTCTTCATTGATTCGAATTTAAGTGAAAAGGCTGAGTTTTAAAATTCTAGATCACGGGCTGGGCGGTGGTGGCACACGCCTTTAATACCAGCACTCGGGAGGCAGAGGCAGGCGGATCTCTGTGAGTTCGAGGCCAGCCTGGTTTCCAAAGTGAGTTCCAGGAAAGGCGCAAAGCTACACAAAGCAACCCTGTCTTGAACCCCCCCCACCACCACCACCAAAAAAAAAGTTCTGGATCACATTTTAAGTATGTGGAAGACTGTTTTTGATAGGCAGTATAAAGGTAAATTTACATTTGTTAACACGTAGAAGATAATCCTGAACAGATGTCAGACAGTGCAGCTCTGTGGGTACAACTCAACTTCTCAGTCCAGTTGTGCCTGTTCAGTTTAATGGCGGGCAAGAACTTGTGATGTTTCCTAACATCTCCTCTTAGTAGTGTGAATGGGTAACTTCTGAGTCATTCAGTGTTTCCACCAATCATTTTACCTCAGTCTCTTCAGCCTTATGGGAGAAGAGAATCTGCCAAGAGAGTAATCTGGTCTCTGTAGATGGTGGGGAAACAGTTTTCAAGGAAACTGAAGAATGTCAGCTTATGGGAAGCTTTCAAGATTAAAGTCTTTGTCCATCTTTCTGAAGCACTGTATAGACAGGACAGCTACACAGTTGCCATGGGTGACAAATGAGGGGATAATGACCTCTCTACTAATGGCCATGAAGAAAGGACAGCTGATGAGAGGAGCTGAGTAACTACATACATGACTAGAAATTAGCCTTGTCATTCATTGCTTTATTTGGAAGTAAAGACAATTGACCTTTAAGTTTGGGGAGGGGGCAACATGTCAGCTTCTCTAAGTGTATTGTTTGTGTTTTAACAGCATGCATCTATTCTCTCCAGAGATACACACACAGATAGGCCTATATGCCCATGTACGCTTCCATGAGTAAATTTAAAACATAAAAATAGGTTAAATGTGTATTTAAGAACTCCAGAACAGTTGTAAAATGGTCCTTAAAATGTATTTAGGATATTTGCAGTCGTTCCAGCAAAGCGGTCTTGGTAGAGTAAGTAAACAAAAACAAAGTGAAATTCAAAGACATAATTCTTCCATGCAGAGAACAAAACTGGGTGCATTGCCTTAGTGATGAAAAGAGGCTGCAGACATCACTAGAGCAGAGGAGTAGGTGGGCCATGGACAGACAGCTCGTTTGAATGGCTTAGTCACCTACTTCAACTTGAAGAATAAGGACAGAATGAAGAGTCCAGACAGTAGAAGACAGACTTCAGAGAACATAAAAGAAGTCTTCATGTAGTACAGTTATGAAAGTATGAGATCAAATGGTCAGGATGGTCATGAAGGGTTGAATCTTTGTGTACTATAGTAGTGTCTGAAATCAGTGTTCACTGCAGCCAATATGGATCTCTCTCTCTCTCTCTCTCTCTCTCTCTCTCTCTCTCTCTCTCTCTCTCTCTCTCTCTTTGAGACAGGGTTTCTCTGTGTAGCTTTTAAGCTTGTCGTGGAACTTGCTCTCTGGACCAGGCTGGCCTTGAACTCACAGAGATCAGCCTGCCTCTGCCTCCAGAGTGCTGGCATTAAAGGCATGTGCCACCACTGCCTAGCCAATATGGATCTCTTAAAGCCATGCTCTGGGTAAATCATTTCCATGTATCTGAGGTGATTAGGCACAGTGAGTTTTTAAAGTTACAAAGTTAAAAGCAGAGCTAGTGGCAGGGCGGTGGTGGCGCACGCCTTTAATCCCAGCACTCGGGAGGCAGAGCCAGGCGGATCTCTGTGAGTTCGTGGCCAGCCTGGTGTACAGAGCAAGTTCCAGGAAAGGCGCAAAGCTACACAGAGAAACCCTGTCTTGAAAAACCAAAAAAAAAAAAAGCAGAGCTAGTGCTGGGAAGCCCTCCATTCACAAACCACGGCAAGGTGATTGTTACGAGCTATGAGTATGTGCAACAGTTTCCCCATCTCCAGTTAGTCACACAATTTAAAACCTGGACTTGATCTCAAAGACACTATGCTTAACCATGTCATGCTGATCTGCATGAAACCTAAATAATTTCTCTGTTTGTGCTTTATCCAGACACAGACTTGCAGCTCAGAATGGAAGGTCCTTAAACTCATAGGTCAAATCCTGTATTCCATACAAGGCAGCATAATATGATGAATGACCAATTTCCCCTTTCTGTAGGTGAAACTCTAAATTAAAAAACAAAAAATTTCCAACTAAATGCGATTTATAGAGAGAGTTTCCTGCCTCACCTGTGTTTCCTCACAAGGCTGGAGGGTGAAGTTCTGCAGGACTCTGATGACAGCAAGTTTCATGTTGATGAGGGCAAACCTTAGGCCAAGGCAGTTCCTGGGTCCGTTCCCGAAGGGCAGGTAAACATAAGGATTGATGCTGCCCTTGTTCTCCTTGCTGAACCTGGAGACAGAGTGGGGATGCAAACGAGGCTATGGAACATAAAGACCCAAGAGCTCCGTGTTTGGCGTTCTGACACCCTCAACCAGGATGGTGCAGCTTATGTTTGTGGACTTGCAACTGAACCCTTGCTGTGGATGTCTCACCATACGAATTTTAAGTCAGGGGCTGGAGAGATGGCTCAGCAGTTAAGAGCACTGGCTTCTTCTCCAGAGGACCTGGATTTGATGACCAGCACAGGTACCTGACACCCTCTGGTGATCTTTTGAGGCACCAGGTACACATGTGAATCAGATACATACAGGAAAACGCCCATACACATAAAAAAAGATTAAAAATAAAAACATTGTAAGCTAATGGTCTTTCTATGTCCCTTAAATAGAGGAGTCTCTGGTGTCGAGCTGAGCTGTGCTGAATGGTTTTAGAGAGGAAATGTATCTTTAAATACCAAAATTCTGTCCAGGAAGGGTATATGTTCCCATTCTGAAAGACAAGTCAGAATTAGAGTGAAAAGTATGCTACTGCCTCAACTTCAAGGCAGTTTCTTCTTTTTTTTTTTTTTTTTTTTGGTTTTTCGAGACAGGGTTTCTCTGTGTAGCTTTGCGCCTGTCCTGGAACTCACTTGGTAGCCCAGGCTGGCCTCGAACTCACAGAGATCCGCCTGGCTCTGCCTCTTCTTTTTTTTTAAAGATGTATTTATTTATTATGTATACAGTATTCTGCCTGCATGTGTCCCTGCAGGCCTCAAGGCAGTTTCTAACCAAACAGACAATGGAAAAGTTCTTAAAGCTAATGGTAAATTTAGGAACCAGCACAGAACACATGAAAAAAAGAACAAGAATCCTAAATATGTAAATTTAGATATCACATATCAACTACTACCTAGTCACCAAATAAGACATATATGTATATGACAAGGTGTGGTATATAGGTTAGTGTAGCGGCTTTCTTTGGGCTGCCATCCAGCTCCCAAATCATGTTTCAGAGACTTATTAGTTATGAACACTCAGCCTTATGCCTGTCCCACTAGCTCTTATAATTGATTTAACCTGTTTCTCTTCATCTGCATTTTGCTTTGGAGCTTTTTACCTTGTTTTCATTCTGTATGTCCTACTTTTCCATGACTTTTTTCGTGACCTACTGGCTGGTGGCTGCTTGGCTGGCTGGATCCAAGCATCTTCCTCTCCTCTCTTTCTCTCTTCTCTCTTTCTCCCCTCTCCCCCAGCCGAGATTCCTTTTCCTACTTATTATCTCTGCCCACCAGCCACAGCTATTACTCTTTTGCCTAGCTATTGGCCGTTCAGCTTTTTATTAGACCAATCAGGTGCTTTAGGCAGGCAAAGCAACACATCTTTACATCGTTAAACATATGCAGCATGAACAAGTGTAACACTTCTTTATGTCATTAAACAAATCCAACATAAACAAATGCAACACACCTTAATATAGTTAAAGTAATATTCTACAATAGGTTAGTGTTTAAGTAATTAGTGATTCATAATACAAGTAAAATACACTAGCTTTTGCAAAAACTTTACATACATACAAATAAATCCTTGAGGACATATTTCACTATTAATGGAGCTAAGGTGAACATTTTGGGACTCTGAATGGCCATGAATACTTTTTTTCTGGTCTGTTTTTGTAGCATCAAGAATTATCACTTTGTAATTTTAAAAGGTTTAATTCCCAAAAGAAATACAGATGCAAAGGGATACAAAATCACATATATGAAATTTCCAGTAGGCAGCATAATATGTTTAATTTGCCTGGTTCCTAGTGGGGGACTGCTCTTTGAGGTCTCTGTACCTTTCAGGGCAGAACTCCTCAGGCTCTGGCCAGTACTCAGGATCCTGATGGAGAGGATAGGTTGGTACTATAACTATAGTCCCTTTGGGAATGAACACGCCATTGATTTCCACATCTTTCTTTGAGATCCTTTCTAGCCTGTTAGCAGCTGGGTACAATCTGAGAGTTTCATTCACTACCATGTCCATCAGGGCATCATAGGTGACAGGTGCCTGGGAAGAAGAAACAGATGTTTCCAGATGAGGTTTGGACTCCAATTTCAATTCAGTTTCTAGTGCTATTGCATGTCAGAAGCTGCAAGGACTAACCTCCATTAGTGGATCTTAGCTTTAATAAATCATTCTGCACCTATGACAACCTTTGTCTTGATTATGGCCCATTAGGGTGTGAAGTATAAGTTTTAGCACAGGAGCCATTTGGGACACAGCCCTGTCCAGATCCCCTCCTCCTCCTCATTGTGATGCTCTGATTTCTTTCCCATGTGAGCACATATGACAAATATGACAGTTACACTCAGACAAAGTGCCCTGGTGTCAAGGTCTCATCTGCATACACCAGTCTACACCAAGGAAATAACACCATTGCAAGAAACAACTCCCCACTCGTGGTCCATATCAGGCTTTTTAGATTGTTCTGGTTTTGCATGAGTGTGTGTGTTCATATTCATGGGATGTGGACAACTGCTGTGCACTGACCTGTATGTGGAAGCCAGAGTCCAACCTTGGGTGTCATTCCTCTGGGAGTTCACTTTATATATGTTTTTGAAACAGGTTTGCAGTGGCCTGACACTCATCAAGCAGGCTGGGTTGCCTGGCTAGTGAGCTCCAGGGGAAGACAGGCTCACACTGTCTCTGCCTCCTCAGTGCTCCAATTACACCTTTCCCCTCACATGGGTTCTGGGATTCAAACTCAGGTCCTCACAAAACAAGCATTGTATGATTGAGCTGTGTCCCCACCTTCTCATACTAGGCAATTCCTGCTTGCTAACTCCCTGGGGGGTGGCTGGTATAGTAAGTTGGAAAGAAAGTTACAATGGAGACTTCTAGAAAGACCCACACTAGAAACTGCCTCTGTGTGTGAAGAAGAGTCAGAGCAACAGGAAAACAAGAAACAAAACACAATCTTTGTCAAGGAGAGAGGAAGAGCTTCAGAAACACAGAGGAAGTAGTAGGACATGGAAAACACATGGTGGAAAAATGGATTATTTATAGAAAGAAACCAAACTGAAGATGGCTCTGGATGCCTTGTTCCCCAGTTCCAGGGGAAGGGGAAGGGGAAGGCAAAGCCCCTCCAAAACAACCAAGAGGCTCTGGTGAAAGGGGCAGGGAGTCCTCCCTCCAGGACACCCCCACAGCCTCCACAGACTTCAAACCAATGAGGAGTGTGCTGAGATGGGGGCTGACTCCTGCAACTGTGAAGAGGAATCCCACCGTCACTCTGGATGATTCAGAATGGAGAAGCCAGCTGACATCTTTATACAGAACCTTGCATTGGAAACTGAATGCCTGCAACCGTGAAGAGGAATCCTGCTCTCACTCTGGATGATTCAGAATGGAGAAGCCAGCTGACATCTTTATACAGAACCTTGCATTGGAAACTGAATGCCTGCAACCGTGAAGAGGAATCCTGCTCTCACTCTGGATGATTCAGAATGGAGAAGCCAGTTGATGACTTCATACAGAACCTTCCCTCGGAAACTGAACTGCTCAGGGAGGCAGAGAATTGGGACCTATCACAAGACAGGGAGGCTGAACTTAATGCTCCACAACCCTAGGGCAAGAGATTACCTGAGCGACAGTTATGGAAAGAGGCAGGATTAGACGCTTAGGAGCTTAAGAGTACATGTGGCCGGAGGCTGAGGAAATAAAGTGCTCAGAGAAAGGTATCCCTACCATTGATTGTCCTGACCAGGTCTCCATTAGCCACCCAGGAGTGTTGGACTTGGAGACTCCCTGAGGGATCTGTCCTGCATACTGACTTTAATGCCAGCTCTGGTCAGCAGAGGGCACTGACACTCAATTTACAAGAGTGATGCTAACTGCACTCAGGGCTTCAGGCAGGAAGTAGTCTGATATACTATCAATGCCATTATAAACCATGGGAAAAGCTGGGCAGCGGTGGCACACGCCTTTAATCCCAGCAGAGGCAGGCGGATCTCTGTGAGTTCAAGGCCAGCCTGGTCTACAGAGGAAGATCCAACACAGGCACCAAAACTATATAGAGAAACCCAGTCTTGAAAAACAAAACAAACAAAAAAAAAAAAAACAAAAAAAAAAAAAAAAAAAGGAAAGGAAAGGAAAGACTCCCCTAATTCACACACACTCATACACACATATAAATGCCATGCTATCTGACTGGACAGTAGAGCCATTGAGAGTACTGTCAGGTCAGCCTCCCGCGACCAGTGAAGGCCAGCCTAGCACCATAGATAGCCCAGACAGCACCTGAGAACGTCAGCAGAGATAACTGTCCACACATCTGAGGGACTGGTGCTTACCCTTATGTGTCACACAGGTTTTCTGGTGTCTCTTACTTGGTATAGCTGTTATGATAGACACAGACACACCAGAGCCAGCACTGTATTAAAGATCATGTATTTCTACAGGTCACATTCATCTCCCATGTCCCCCCATTTGTTTCTCTTTTAGACTCTTGCTGGTGGAAGAACAATTGCATGGCTCTCTGTAAACATTCTCATTGTAAGTGATGAGACATGTGCTTGTGAATCCTTTACCTCTGCCCTCCCTCTCTGGGTACCACCCACTCACCTTATTGGGCAGAGCTCTGTCAATCTCATCCTGAAGCTTCTTTTGCACACCAGGGTGAGTAGCCAGTTGATACATCACGAAGGAAATGGATGTGCTTGTGGCTTCATAGCCAGCGAAAATGAAAACAACTGATTGGGCTGTGATCTCCGTATCAGAAAGAGCTAAAAGGAAAAGAACATTGTGGATAAAAAAGATCAAAGCAGAACATCATAGTTGAGATGAAAAGAAATTCAAATGGTGCTCCCAGCCGTCCGGAAACGAACAGAGAAAGGCAGTTCAGAGTCCCTGGGACTGAATTCCACCCTGGTGCCCACCTGTCCTGTTAGATCAGACTCACCACCACAAATGTGGATGAGCTGGGAGAACTGCCATCTCCCAACAGCTTTAATGCAGGGGCCAACATGCTCACACCCTGCTACTGTGGCTCTGCTTACCCCCACCACCTCAGCATCCAGATGCACCTGCTCTCCCTCTTCTAGTTTGAGCCTGGAAGCCTGTGTGTCCCCTCAGGCCCCACCTGAAGCTTATGTTTTTCTAAAGAACTGTTCAGTAGGTAAAGCCTGATGATCCACATAAAGGCAGAAGCAGAGAAACAACTACACAAAGCTGTCCTCTGACCTCCACACATGGGCTGGGACGAACACCCTCATATCCATTTTATACACATGCACACGATGATAAGTAATAAATTTTAACTTTTGAAGAATAAAGTCATGTTAAATAAACAAAATGGAGTATGGTGCTTAGGAATAAGGATCAGCTGGTAGAGTGCTTGCCTAGCACATCTAAAGCCCTGGGCTCCATTCTCAGCATCACACAAACCAGGTGGGGTGCCGCAGGCCCAGAATTCCAGCACTTAGGGTGTGGAAACACAAGAATCCGGAGCGTGAAGACATCCTCTGCTACTTTTTTTTTAAATTAAAGATTTACTATTTTATGTGTGTGAGAGACACACACACATGTGCAGTCCTCAGGGAGGACAGAAAAGAGCCTCCGCGTGGAACCACAGGAGGCTGCAATCCACCTGACATGAACGCTGGAAGCCTACCATGTGTGCTCTGGAAGAACAGGAAACACTGTCAACTGCTGAGCCATCCCTCCGGCCCCATCAGCTACACATTGAGTTTGAGGGTAGCCTGGGTTACATAAGACCCCGTCTCAAAAAGTAAATAAATCAACAAAATCTCCAAAACAGGTAAATTAGCTCACCTGGGATGTTGCTGCAAGGAACCCAGGAGCAAGCTCTTGGTCTCTAGTGCTCACAGAGGGAAGACCTGGACCCGCATGAAGAATGGGCAGTGCTGAGCAGAACACACAGAAGGATCAGGGCTGTCGTCCACCAATTCAAAAGCACCCCACCCAACACACACAATCTCAGAACCACAGATCACAAAGAATTACTTCAGGGCCAGGCAGTGGTGGTGCACACCTTTAATCCCAGCACTTGGGAGGCAGAGGGAGGCAGCTTTCTCTGAGTCCGAGGCCAGCCTGCTCTACATAGTGAGTTCCAGGACAGCCAGGGTTACAGAGAGAAACGTTATCTGAAAAAAACAAAAAGGAAAGAGAAAAAAATTTCAGGACCATAACGACCCACAGCCAGGAGTCTGGGTGTCCCCTGCCCTGTTCTGGCTGAGAGGATTGTCCTGGCCCTGTCCCCTCAGAGTTAGCCACACTCCTGAGGCATTCATGAGGACAGCTCTCTGAGACTCAGGAATAATGAAGTCTCACGTGGGTGTGGTCTATCTCCCCACTTATCATCAGTGTAGCTGCTAGTAGTTCTGGAAGGGATGAGGGAAGAGAGAAAAAAATGATAACAGAACATGATTCTAGTTGTGCCCTGTAAAACCAGTCAAGGTGTAAAGAACCATTCCATCTGCTTCCTACCGGGGCAGACAACGTGGCCTGGAAAAATCAGAATTACACCTTACCAGCACCTACTTAGCCCAGTGCTGAGTTTCTCTCTCTCTCTCTCTCTCTCTCTCTCTCTCTCTCTCTCTTTGGTTTTTCGAGACAGGGTTTCTCTGTGTAGCTTAGAAGTCTGTCCTGGGACTTGCTCTGTAGACTAGTCTGACCTTGAACTCACAGAGATCTGCCTGCCTCTGCCTCCAGAGTGCTGGCATTAAAGGTGTGCACCACCCTGCCTGGCACCAGTGCTGAGTTTCTGAAGAGACTGGGGGTGGACAGGACCTCCCATCCTCATCACCTGCATCTTACCTTGCTCCTGGAAGGCCTGTGTCCCGTCTCCAGGGCCCTGGCTCAGCTGTTCTGCAGTGCTTGGGCCTAAGCTTTGAACTCCGTCTCCCTGAAGTATCCCCCACTCAGGTTTGACTTCTACTGGCCCCAAGTGGATGCTTGATTGCCAAGATCCTCCACCAAGGGCTGTGACCAGCTGCTCTCCCTGGGCATGGCATGGAACCTAAGAAGAAGAATGCCCATACCAATTAGAAGGAGACCTGCTGGAAACTGTTAAAAAGAGAGCTGAATTAGAACAGAAAGAAAGCAAGGCTGGGGGTGTGACTCAGTTGGTAGCGTGCTTGCCTGCATGCATGATGCCCTGAAGTCCTGGGTTCCATCCCCAGCACCACATAAACCCAGTATGGTTGGTGGTCAAGCCTGCAATCCCAGCACTCAGTAGAGGGAGGAAAGTCTCTCTCTCTCTCTCTCTCTCTCTCTCTCTGGGTTCAAAGCTAGCCTGGTCTAATGAGTGAATTACAGGCCAACCAGGGTTACATAGTAGACCCTGCTTTTTTTTTTACCTAAAAAAACCAAAAAGGTAGAAAGAAGAGAGGGAAAGGAGAGAAGGAAGGAGGGGAAGGAAGGAAGGAAGGAAGGAAGGGAGGGAGGGAGGGAGGGAGGAAGGAAGGAAAGAAGGGGAGGTATAAGAGAAAGAGGGTGGGAGGATGAGGAAGGAGAGCTGCTGACCTCTTCCACATGAAGAAAGCTAAACTCTCCCAAAATGAAGTAGCAAATGAGAAAGCTGCTCTACAAAAAGTGGAACATTGCAGCGGCGTTCTCATGGAAATGAGGCCCTGGCTCTCTCCCCCCTCCTCACAGTTTTTAATACTGATCATCAACTTTACAGGTTCTGGAGTCACCTGTAAGACGAACCTCTAGGCATACCTGTGGGGGACATGTGTCTAGATTTGGTTACGTGGGGTGGGAAGCCCCACCTTAATCCAGGTGGCACTATCCCATGGGCTGAAGTCCCACAAAGAATCAAAGGAGAAAGTGGGGGCTGGAGAGCTCGGCATCTGAGCACACACACTGCTCGTGCAGAGCACCTAAGTTTGGTTTCTAGTGCTCACACGGGGCAGCTCACAACCATCTGTAGCTCCAGCTCCAGGGGATTCAATGTCTTCTGTGGGTACCTGAATACATGTGCACGTTCTAACACAGAGACTCACAATAAAAAGGAGTAAATGTTTTCATCTTTAAAACAAAAAGGAGAAAGTGAGCTGAGCACCAGCATTCCCACTGCTTCCTGAAGGGGATGTAATGTGGCCAGTTGTCTCACCCTCTTGCCACCACACTTTCCCCACAATCTGTGAGCCAAAATGTGAGCATCTTTCTATTAACTCCTGGCCTTAAGGTATTTATTTAAGGCAGGAGAGATGGCACCTAAGAGCACTGACTGCTCTTCCAGAGGACGCTGGCTCAATTTGCAGAACCTACAAGGCAGCTACTAACTAGCTATAACTGCAGTTCTAGGGGATCTGGATTCCAGAGGCACTGCATGCACATGCTGCAGATATACTTGCAGGCAAAACACCCACACACATAAAATAAAATAAAATATTTTTTGTTTTTTTTTTTTTTTTTGAGATAGCGTTTCTCTGTAGCTTCGGAGCCTGTTTTGGAACTCACTCTGTAGACCAGGCTGGCCTCAAACTCACAGAGATACGCCTGCCTCTGCCTCCCGAGTGCTGAGATTAAAGGTGTGTGCCACCACTGCCCAGCTTATAAAATAAAAAATGTAAAGATATTTAAAACGTCTTATTTTTTTGCATGTGCATGTGTGTGGATGCATGTGCATGCATATGTAGAGGACAATGGGTGACCTCAGTGTCTTCCTTTATCACTCTGGGCCTTATGTGATTAAGCCAAGCCTGTCACCTGATTTCTTGCTTGCCGATTACACTGTCCACCAAGCCAGCTCACTCAGAGGATGCCGACTCCATCTCCTGAGTGGATTACAGGTGGACCATCATGCCTACCCAGCATTTGTGTGGGAGCTGGAAACACGACTCCAGTCCTCATCCTTTCATAGCAGATGCTTCATCCACTGAACCATCTCCCAACCCCTAAAACTGTCTTGTAATACACCCCACTCCGCTCCTCCTAAAACTCCTTTCTGCAACAAAGTGAAGCCCAAATCTGGCTAGCCTGATCGGAGATTCCTAAAGGTGAGTAAGGAATCCCAGGGTGACAGAGTGGGCTTGTGCCTGAATCCCAGTTGCCACCGGCAGAGGGACTGCCATTAGCCTCTTCCCCAAGAGCATGCAGAGCTCACAGTGGACCCCGAAAACCATCAAAACTGCTTTCGTTGGATTTGAGGCTCACCAGGGGGTCCCTGATGCCCAAACCAAGGCATCATGCCCTCCTGCCCGTGGATATCTTCCCTAGAGATGGCTCTTTAAAAAAAGTCTTCTACATGTGTATATGATGTGTGTGTGTGTGTGTGTGTGTGTGTGTGTGTGTGTGTGTGTGTGTGTGCGCTCCTGTGTGTGAGTATGGGCATGTGTGGAGATCAGAGCACACCTTCCAGTGCTGGTTCTCACCTTCCACCTTATAATAGGGACTCCTGCTGATCACTGCTGAGGATGCCTGGCTACCTGGACTTACAAACTTATGGGGCTCTCTTTTCTCTGCCTACCATCTCACCACTGGGATTACACATGCACATTGGCCTATGTGGCTTTTCCATGGGTCTTGGAGATCCGAACCCGGATTCTCACGCTTGCGTAGCAAGCTCTTCACCCACTGAGCCATCTCCTCACCCCGACTCTTCTTGCTAAAATTGTAGCCACTCTCCAGAAAGGCCCTTGGGGGCTGGGGGATGATGGAGCAGGCTCTATGTCTCATCCACTCCAACACTTCCTTAAGCTCTCCACTTTTGATTCCCACACCAACCGTGCAAGGCCTGGACACCCTCTTCTCACCCACCGCCTTGGCCTCAGGTGTGCTCTCCATCAGGTCCTCCACCATGGCCACCAGAGCCTTGCCGCTGTCTGGGCTGTGATCTCGGATCCAGGTGTAGAACTCGCAGGGCAGGATGGTGAGGAACTGCTCCAGCACCAGCAGCTCCAGGATCTGCTCCTTGGTGTGCAGCTCCGGCCTCAGCCACCGCCGACAGAGCTCCTGGAGCTCCCTGAGAGCTTCCTGGGGACCAGCAGCCTCTTGGTAGCGGAACTGCCGAAACCTCAGCCGGAATGCCTCAGGACTTGAGTCCTCCCCTCCCCGGCCCCATGGCAGCTCCTTCTCCAGTTTCACCACTGGAGCACCCATCTGCTGCTGAGGATCTTCTGCCATCTCCAGACGCTCTTTCAGCATCTTCAAGCTCCAGCAAGACTGAGGATGACAACAGAGAGGGCCCTTCTGAGAACAGAAGACACACGAGTCAGCCCATCCAGTTCTGTGTCTACACTAGTGACTGTTCTCAGGAAGCTGACGTATATCCTCAAATCCTACCAGTTGACCTGGGGCTTAGGTTAGTCCGGCTGGAGACAATGGTGCAGACAAACTTTGAGGTCAAAACTAACCAATGCATTAGTGGCTTGACTGTGACAGTACACTCAGTCTAAAGACAATGCCACACGGGCTATTGCCACTGCTCTTGACTGTCCATGTAACTAGATGTAAAGTCAGCTGCTGAAGACCCAATACATTTTGGTTGCAGGGCCCAGAGAAATCAAGCTGGAACTGACCTGAAATTTCCTCCCTATTCTCTAGTTTTCATAGTGCTGGAATGTGCTATACGGTCCACTGGAGGAGAAAAGTCATCATTGCTGGTATTACCCAGTAGCGAAGCTTCCTGCTATAATGAAGAATGACCTGCCAGACAAGATGTCCCCTGGTGTTATAGTGATGAAGGTTATGGAGGTAACCAATTCCTTTCTGACTGGATTTGTGGCTTGCTCCATAGGAGGGAATTCATGCCTGTTACTGTAAACCTGGTCAAAAGCCCACAGCCAGGGAGAATATGGGCCTAAGGGAGAACCCACTACTGTGGTTTTGCTGAAATAGACGTGGTACCAAACCACCTTCTAAATATTTATGCTTACACCCATAGATTAGAGCTGCTCTCAGGCTTGGTCAGGGAAGCCTTTCTGCTTACAGTTAATGCAGACACTTACAACTGGTCAAAGGGCTGAGACTAAGTGACTATTGAGTGTTCCTTCCTAAACGGAACATCTGTGTCAACACCTCTACACAGCCAAGGCTCAGGGAACATAGCGGAAGAGGGACAGAAAGAATGTAAGAACCGGAAGATGGCCAGGAGTCCCGTGAAGTGCTGTCTTCTGCACGTGACATAGGCAGGGCACTCATGCACTTACTGCAGCCGTGGTCACCTGCACAAGACCTGCACAGGACCAAGCCAGTAAAAGCAGTCAGCAGCATTCCAACAAAAGAGAAGAGGAGGTGCAAATGGGACTGAGATGTATGGGTGATCCTGGGAGGAGCAGGGGTGGGGGTGGGGTTAGGGTAGGCATAGTCAAGATACGTTGTTCGCGTGTCCAAAAATGTCAAGAGAATAGGTAAAAGCTGAGACACAGAGAGAATACGCAAGCAGCATATATAGCTGTCTGCCTCCCAAAACACGGAAGGTTTAAAAGGAAGAAAGATGGGACTGGAGAGGCAGTGATTAAGTCGGTGATTAAGAGCACCTGCTGCTCTTGCAGAGGACCCAGGTTCAGTTCCCAGCACACATGGTGGCTCACAACCATCTGTAACTCCAGTTCTAGAAGATCTGTTGTGTCTTCTGGACACTGGACACCGGGCACACATGCATAGACAAATGTGCAGGGGGAAAAACACCCATACACATAAAATAAAATATATTAAAAAAAAAAGAACGAATAAGTAAGTGTAGTGGCACACATCTTTAATCTCAGCATTGGGATGAAGAGGCAGGCATATCTGTGAGAGTTTGAAACCACCCTTCTCTATATAGTGAGTTCCAGGACAGTCGGAGCTACACAGTGAGACCCTGTCTCGAAAAAAGAAAGATTAGCAGCCATGGTGATAGTTACCTGTAATCCCGGTACCTGGTTTAGGCTGGAGTAGTGAGTTCCAGGCCAATCTGGCTACATAGCTGGAAGAAAAGGAGGGAAGGAAGGAAGGAGGGAGGGAGGAAGGGAGGGAGGGAATAGCAGGTGGGAGAGCGAACATTACACACCAGGAAAAAAAAAAAGGCTGCGGAGCAGACCATAAAATGTATCTTGTTTACTTCCAGGTGGGCAGGCTGGAGAAACAGGCCCCTAACCCCAAGCACTAAGGCGCTCAGATTGTTAGCCAACTAGCCTTCTGCTGTCAATTCTACTGGATGTTTGCGTTTTCCTCAACCCGCCCCTTAAACCGACTCCTCATTTTTCTGTCTACATTACTCGTCCCTGCTGCATCGAGCTTTCTCAAAAGTCCGCGCGTGCCCTGAGGGCAAGAGGCCCTCGTGGATCTTTCCACGCAGGCCTCTGGCAGACAGAAGGTGCCGCGTGGCCGTTCTTCCAAGGACTGACTGTCCTACATCTGCGTCTAAAACGCTTAGAGGTGCTTTTCAGAGTGGCAGGGACAAGGTCTTCCCGGGGATCCTGGACACCCTGTGTTAGCTCCCCCAACCCTCCCTGCCTGGCCCGGCCGCGACCCGAGTGAATCTTACCTGAGACCACGGCTGTGCATGGAGATGCGACCTCCGGGCCGCAGCTGCCCTGCCCAGCTGCAAACAGCTCCATCTCAACCCGTCCAGACCCAGCCACGGCCTTGACTGATTGCGCGCTCAATACCTTCCCAGACCTGCGCCGACCGGGAAGTGGGAGGCAGATGCTGTCAGGCAGGCGCCCTATAGAATGTGCCTATGTCTCTTTCCTCCAAGGATGCTGGGAGGTCTCAGAAGAAGGTATATCTCTATAGTTAGTCAGGGCCAGTGCAGGCTCCCCATCTTTCTCCTGGCTTTACTGCCCCTCCGCACATTTTTCCTTTTTTTTTTAAATGAAACTGTAAAAAAAAAAAAAAAAGGAGCTTCTCAGTCCTAGGCTAAGAGATGCATTAGTCTGTGGGTATAAACATAAATATTTTATCATTTTAAATGTAACTATTCACTGTGTGTTAGGACAACCAGAGGACTCAGTTCTCACCTTCTACCAAGTATGTAGGTCCCAGGGATAGAACTCAGACCATCGGGCTTGGGGACAAGCACCTTGACCCACTGAGTCACCTCACTGGCCCTGAACATAAATATCTAGACAGCAATCTGACAGTATGTTCCTTTGGGAAATGTGATGGTTAGTTTTAACTGTCACCTTGATAACCTAGGATCACCTAGGAAGAATCTCATTGAGGGGCTAGACAATCCCTCCCTGTCAGATTGGCCTGTGGACTTGATGTGGGAAGACCCAGACTACTGTGGGTGGCACTGTTCGTGGGTTTGGGTCTTGGACTCTGAAAGAATGGAGAAAGGGGGCTGAGTAGTAAACATGCATACATTAATTCATTTCTCCCTGCTCTCGACTGTGGCTGTGATGTGACCAGCGGCTTCCAGTTCCTGCTGCCTCGACTTCCCTACAGTGAGGACTGTAACCTGGATGTGTGAGCTAAAAAACCACAATCTCCTCAAAGCTGTTTTTGCTTGACAAAGTCTCTCTATGTAGCCTGGCTGTTCAGGAACGTGTTGTGTAGACCAGGCTGGCCTCGAACTCACAGATATCTGCCTGCCTCTGCCTCTCGGCGCTAGGATTAAATACTACCACTACCATGCATGGCTAATGATTGTATGTTTGGTGGGTTTTTTGAGACAGAGTTTCTCTGTGTAACAGCCCTGGATCTCCTGGAACTCTCTCTGTAGACCAGACTGGCCTCAAATTTACAGAGATGTGCCTGACTCTGTCTCCCAAGTGCTGGGATTAAAGGCATGCACCACCACCTCCTGCCTTAATGTTTTAACTATAACAGAATTACTATAAAAGACATGTATACTGGATTCTCTGGAAAAACAAAGATACATCTTGTGATAAGAATGTTGTCTTAGAGCAGGTGACACTTCAGTTGGGATTAGACATGAGGGATTTTTTCCCTTTCTGGAAAAGAGAGACAAGGGTATTGAAACCAGAGACTGGTGCTCAGGCCAGACATGGTGGTACACATCTTTAATATCAGCACTCAGGAGGCAGAAACAGGCAGATCTCTGTGAGTTCAAGGCTAATCTGGTCTACATAGTTTCAGGCCAGCCAGAACTACATAGTGAGACCCTGTCTCAACAATTAAGTAAATAAGTAAACAAGAAATAATAAAATGAAAAGAGACTGGTGCTTGGAAAGGCATTCATATTTGAAGGAAATGGCATGTTAGAAGATTTCTGATGTACTTCATGTGCCCCAAACTCATCAAGGGAAGAGAGAAGCCTGAGCATGGTAGTGCATGCCTGGAATCCCAGTGAGCTCAGGCTGACCTGAGCTGTATAGTAAAATCAGATGCAGCCTGCGCTACATAGTGAGTGTGAGGCCACTTTGGGTTACATATAATGAGGAGAGAAAGAGAGATAGATGATAGACAGAGGGGCAGACAGATACATAAATAGATAGAAAGATAGATACATACATAGATAGAGATAGATAGATAGATAGAGAGAGAGAGAAAGAGAGAGAAAGAGAGAGAGAGAAAGAGAGAGAGAGAAAGAGAGAGAGAGAGAACCCACTCACCCAGGAGACCTCTGACTTCAGGACAGGATGAGATAGTGTTGACATAGTGGTAGTTGACCTCTCTGTCTCTCCAGAGGCCCAGGTTTCAGGCTAGCCAGGGCTACATAGCAAGACTCTTGTCACAAAAGAAAAAAAACTAAGTAAAAATGGTAGGTTTAATAAGCAACATAAAACCAAAATCTCCTAGTAAGATTTTGTTGCATGTGGTTGGTTGAGATGGCTTAGTGATTAAAGGTGCCGCCACCAGGCCTGACAACCTGAGGTCAATTCCTGGACCCATTTGGAGGAAAGAGACAACCTAGTCCCACAAGTTGTCCTCTGGCCTCTACATTTGCACCATGGCACACCCACACACAAATAAATAAAATGTATTGTTTTAATTAAAAACAAATTTGTTTCACGGGCAAATGTGAAGACTCACCTCTGTCATAGTTATGATAACTTCACCCATGGAAAATCAGAACTCCATTAAGTCAAAAGTGTTCTGCACACCTTAAAACCCAGGATGCATGTATGCACTTGCTCTACCTTGTGGATTTTGGATGCTGAGACAGACCAGGGCAGAGGTCACAAGAGAACAGCTTGGACCTTGCCTCACCTTTCTAAGATCCTGCTACGGTCCCTTATTTCTGTCTTGTGAGTTAACCCCCAAATAAATGCCTTTGTTCATTAAAATAAATAAATAAATCAATAAGTTCAATGAAAACTTTTAGAGAAAACGTCATCGTGGTCTTTTAAGTTTCGTCCTCTGCCCCTACCCTGCTTTGCCTTGTACCCTGGTTCCTCCATTGGCTCTGCCTCCCTTTCCCCCCCTCCCTGGTTGCTCCTTACTTGATGAGGGTAGAGGCTTCCAGTATCAGATAGAGAAGCAGTTCTCAAACAGGCCACTGAAAACTCTTCCGGGGCCCCCTGGTTCACGGACCTCGCCCAGAAGGGAAAATGGAAACAAGCAGAATGTGCAGGGAGCCCAAGACCGGGGCGATGGTCTAAGTGAATCCCTCCATCCTTGCTGTCTAGAGTGAGCACCACCTGTGCAAGTGAAAAGTGACAGCATAGTGGGCCATCCCCAGAGCCAGCGGGATGCCTGTATGTACCACACAAGTGCAGCTGTCGGTTGACTTTATGGTTACAGGCCTCTGTGACTGACCTAAAACATTCATGAAATGCCATCCACTGGTAGCTCACTAGGTGGTGGTAGGCATGGTGAGCAGCCTCTCTCTAAGTACTGATTGCCTCATTTAGAAAAACTGAGGACACTGGCCTAGGCCCTGCCCACAGCCTCAATTAAAAATAAAAACATGTGTGCCCCATACAAAGCAACTCATGTTCTAGAAGTATATTCAAAGAGGCTGGAGTTTTCCAAATCTGGGGACAGGAGTGTTTCTTCTGGAATCCTCTACTCTCTACGGACAGGTGGACTGTGCTGCCCTCTCCTGAAGCTATTGGGCTTTTGGCACTGCCCTGCTGCATGGCTGACTTCAAAGGCCAGGCTCTGAGAGGCCTTCTGCTGGGTCACCACCACTATGCTGTGGGAACCAGACCCCAGCTGTCCCAGCCGGCAGCCAGCAGAGCATCCCTTGGCAGACCTGAGTCAGCAAGGCTTCAGACCCTTGAGGACCCAGCTGGTGGGCAGCCCGTCTGCGTCCTGGAATACAGCTCCACCCATCTGCCCATCCCCCCTGACCTGTCTCCATAATTGCAGAACTGTAGCCAAAATAAGCGTGGTCATCACCTGAGGTTGCTAACATTCTTGGTACAATAGTTTAATTAACAGGACAGATGTGAATGACACTCACCACCAAGTTGTACAGAATAACGCAGATGGTCACACTGGACGCTGACCATGGTTTCTACAAGGGGCCACTCTATGACCGCAAAGAGGAAAAATGGGCTGGAGAGATGACTCAGTGGTTAAGATCACTGGCTGCTCTTGTAGAGGACCAGGTTCAATTCCCAGCACTGACACAGCAGCTCACAACCATCCATAACCCCAGTTTGAGGGATCCAACACCCTCTTCTGGATTCCATGGGCACTGCACGTATGCACTGCATAGAAACACATGCACGTGTACATGTAAAATAGTAAGATAATTTTTGAAGTAAGTAAAACGTATCAATTATGTAAATGTTCATTGCACATGCTAATGTGTAACATGAGGATATTGTCATATACATACATCTTCACATTGAGCATGTCCCCCCCTTACATCCTATTCCCATTAGTCCTTTCGAATACCATTGGTCCTTTTTAACTCCCTCTATATTTCATGCTATTTATACCAATATAAATTTTTGTATTTCTATAAAATCTAGGAACTACAAACTCACTCCTTCCTTCTGGTTTTGCATTGAATTTTTAAGACTCTCCTTCAATAAGCCTGAAACTTATATATGAATAAATTTTAAACTGGTCATCCAAGAATGAAGATACGCAAACTTTTACCAAAGTCTTAAAGTTAGTGCATACTTTTCCCCTGGGGAAAGGAATGTTGTGAGAGGTGTTGACACCCTGCAAACCAGAACTGAGAAGAGGCACACTGTTGCCTGTGGAAGCCCAAAGGGAATAAACATTTAGCATGCATAGAAAAGGAGAGGAGCCTAGCCCGGTGAGGACATGGGCACATGTCCCTATTTGTGCCTTCACCTCTGGTGACAGTGGTATGGGGTTTTCCAGGCATGGGGAATCTGTTATCATATACCCATGATGACATACTAGGAAACTGACGCTAGAATGATCTACAGGGAGCAGGTTGGGACAGTGGGAAGATCCTAAGAGAAAATTATGTTTTCCTGGGATGCACGTGGTATAGAGGTAATGGTTTGGAAACCTCTTCTGCCTTCTCAAAGCTGAGGGTCTGGCTGAAGCCAGGCTTCCCAGGTCAGTGTGTGGCATGGGCCTATGGACACCACTGTGTCCCACTGTTCACATGGAAAGGCAGAGGGAGAGAATCTGGCAGCCCTGGTCAGCCTGAGAGAAAGCCTATATGG